TCTTAGTTAACTCAACAATACGCATTGAAAACTGGTGAACCGCATACTTTGTAAGTGAATAACAAAAAGAATATCTCATGTGAAGTAGGTGGACACATTTCAAAAAGGTTTCTGTTACTAACACTGTGTTAGACAGATTATCATTATTATTATTATTATTATTATTATCATTATTATAATTATATTATTTGTCCCTTGGGTTCCTAATGGAATATAGGGCTTCAGTAGCACGTCTCCAATGCGCTCTATTCTCTGAAATCTTTTGAACCTGGCTCCACGACAGCCCACAAGCTCTCATTTCCTTCTCGGACGCCCAACTCATCGCTTCTCATCGTGGTTCCACTCGAGTACCTGGCCTGATGCCTGATGTCCCCAGTCGGCTTTCTCAGTGCATGCCAAATCCATCTCCACTTCTTTCCAGGGCATATTTGTTCAGCGATAGGTTCTTAGTTGGTTCGTTCCCAGAGTTCCTTGTTGCTTATTCTTATTATTCTGGCCATCTACCTGATCTTCAGTAACGAGCCAGCGTAGGCAGTTGTTGATGAATGTCTGTAGTTTATTGGGTATCCCTTTCGTAACGCGCCAGGTCTCTCAACCATTCAGAAGCAGTGACTTGACGTTGGTGTTGAAAATCCGGATCTTGTTCCACATGCTGAGTGCAGAAGATCTCGACACTGGTTTCAGGCTAATGAACGCCCCTCTTGCTTTTCCGACCCTGACTTTCATGTCCTCGTCTGTGCAGCCTGTAGTTGAAACAGTGCTACCTAGATAGGTGGAGGCCACTTCCTTTAAGTTTCTCCCGTTGATGGTGATCGGAGCTTTCTGTTGTTTGTGGTGTTGTTGTTGGTTGGGTATCTTCATCACCTCTGCCTTCTCTATATTCACTTGAAGTCCCGTCTTCGCTGCCCTGCCTCTTCTGTCAACTTGTTAGTTTTCGCCTGTAGATCTTCAAGTTTGTGTGACATCAGACACAAGTCATCGGCGAAATCCAAGTCTTCTAGGTTCTTTCCCGCGGTCCACTTAAATATATAAAGAGATCGACAAATACTTAATTTTCCTTAATTTACTATAAATTATATTGAGGCATCATGCTTAAGTCCCTGGGTGCATTATTTGGGATTCTTTTTCAAACAGTTCAATATTTCAATAGCATTTTATACTCAGAAAAGTATTTAATTAGCTTGTCCAGCTGGTTAATGAATATCTAGAGAAAAGCTTGCAGACAAGAAAGAATAAGAACGCAAAACTCAAAGAAATTCAACAAAATAGCTTAAAAGAAGTAGTTATGACTGTAAATTGTGATTAGTTTTCGTCCACGAACTTAATGAACCCAATTAATTTCTGTTTGATTACTACATACATTTCATGTTTGCCGGTAAGCTGGGAAAAACAATTGCAAACTAATATCGGCCACATTTTAACCTAGGTATGAGTAGATAACAAGCAGCTGTAAAAATGAGTGATTTTTTAAGACAAACCTATTGTTCTACATAATCTTTTAACTTCAATCATTTTTAAACGAATAGTGCAAATATAATCTTTAAGCTTACACTGACAGCTGTTTAGTGAGAAGTAGTAACAGACAATATGAACTAAAGTTTGGGTAAGTAGTTTGTTATTAGCGTAGTCAAATACATTGGGCTACTCTTGAGCTGGGATTTAGACGTGATCAACTCAATACTTTTGAACAGCTTCGCAGTTTGTCATCTACTAAAACAAAACTTTTCACTAACACTAGTCAGTAATTTCGATCACCTAGTTCTGAAGGTCGATTGTAGGTTGATCTTCGATAAAGTTGATATTAACAATTCCACTTCCAAAGCTAAGGTACTTAACCGGAAGCAGAACTTAGCAAATTCATTAGCAGTGTCTATAGTTTTACTACCCATCACTGTCTAAGATGGTCTAAAATACACCTATTATTAACAGTACCTAACATGACAATATCACGAGAACAGCCGTTCACATGTAAGAAATCGTAGGAGATCTGAAGTTCTGAGACGATGACTCACAAACTGGTGCTTGGATAATCACCTACACATAGTTATGAAAATTCTTACTCAAAAATTTCCCGATAATAATCTGACTTATTAACTGTAAATAGCCTACAATTACAATGACCACTATAAATAACATATAAGTAAAAGTAAGTTTTTTTTAAATAAGAGAAACATTTGAAACACAGAATATCAAGGTATCAAAAAATAAACAGAAATTAAAGTCACGGATTATGAAAACCAATATTTATTTACATGATGATAAGAAGAAGCTTTCTGAAGTTATGGCGACAGATGATAAATTTTCGAGGCCGCAATAGTAATGGTCATATTCAAACCAAAACATTACGATGAATGAAACTGGAAAATGGAATCAGCGAATCAGTCACTGGATTGCTATAAGTGGGATAATGCTAGATGACTTAGATAAAAAGCCTGATTATACCATATTCAATTTCAATTTACAAATTCATATGCATTTGTTGATCACATGCATAGAAGTGGATGATGATATGATGTTTAAAAGAAGTATGTTCCAAAAATGATGCGTGAGAAAGAAGAAAATGCGTTACCAGCCCAATCACTGAACATTAAGTATAAATAGAATATAAAATTGAACTGACAAGTGTGTAAAAAGGGATAGCATGTTCAACTGCACATTCATCCCACTTTAGATAACGTTTTGGTTATGGCCATTGCCATTACTAACCACTTCCATTAATTCTTCACTTGCCCTCATAACCTTAGAATATTTCTTTGTGAAGCTCTGATGTTGTCTAGTACGACAGTGAAGTATTTGCCGACTGAAATCTCAGCGTAGAGAACAACTGAGCCTGAACATATTTCTAATTCGCTGCTGTATTATGGACTTTTACCTTTGTTTTCAACTTGGACACTGGATCAACATTGATGAATACCGTTATGTAATTCTGAGTTTACTACACTTGGTGAGAGTACATGCGACGAAAATACTGTTTTATTTTACAAACCTAGTGTTATAACCCAATTCAAAAGTATCAAAGGAGCTAAAGCTAACAAGAATTAAATCAGGAAATAGAATAAACAAAGTGTGATCTCTGAAACAAAGTGCCGTGAAATGGCGTAAAGTGCCACTACTGAATAAACCACTCAGGTTGATCTGTAGTATTTCGCCAGCCAGATCAGAGTGATCTAATTTAATCCTATCATTTTTCAATTATTATTAAGCGGCTTTAAGTGGGACAATGAAATGAAGTCTTCTATAATTTTGTGTGACTTAGGTCAATAGCTAGGTTGTAGAACTAATTAACAGACTACCATCGGTTTCTGAAACTATGGTGGTTAACAACCCGGAAGTGATTTATGTACACAATTCAGTGACTTATTCGCGGTATGAATACTTTAACGGTAAGTTCTCTTTGGTACTAAGTGAGATAGATTTGAATTTCGGATTATCAACAACCAGGAAACCTAGGTCCAGGGCTTCCTTTCAACTGAATTCGAACATTCAAAACTAGAATGTAGTAACTGCTATTGGAATTGTAAGTCTCAGTAAGTACTACATATTTTAAACAAGCACTCATTATATCCAGATGATTAATATGAAAGGCTTTGGCACTTTAAAAGAAATTTTGAGATTGGAAAGATTACCTACAAAAGACCTATAATTTTCACCTAATCACTAGAATCGCTGTTTCCAGAAAATTTGGCGATTTAATATAAAGGAGTGGAAACCTTATTTTAACCCTATCATCATTTATTACATTCTCTTACACATCAACTGTAAATAAGTTAATCACTGTATACGATTAAAATGTCAACAAAAGCAGCAAATTATCTCTGATTATTTACAAAAGAAAACAACTAACGAAAAAGCTGTATAGTCCATAACCATAATCGATAGGATGACATGCACTTAGAAAACTGTGTCAGTCTAGGTTGCCAAACCTAAGAAAAGAACGCGAAGAGAGAAGGTAGCAAGAAGAATGTCGAGGGAAGGAAAACAGTATTAGCAGAAGTGATAAGCTATGAGACGAAAAAAGATCAAATCAAGAGAATGGAAACATACGACATTAAAATCTAGATAAACAGGAAAAGAGGACACTTCTGAAATACAGTAATCGATTTTCAACCATATCGGTCTACAATCTCCAACAATTTGTTTCGGTTTCCTAGACAGACAACACAACCTCGAATAACAGTCAGAGACCACGTAGATGGACGTCACTTCTTGGTTTGGTTACCCCCAGCTTTCTCTAAAATTAATATTATCCAAGCTAACATAGTATAAATTGAGGTTACAGTGGATGAACACATGTGAAACGTGTCCTAGCCACCTCATTCGATAAAGGTTCGATAATTCAACAAATGGTTAACCTCTTCTACTTAAAACTCGATATCTAAAGCATCTCATCGATCAGATGGTTGAAGCACTGCATGCTATTGAGGTTTCAAAGATAACGGTGGTCAAATAACTGGGGTCTCATATAATAGGTGAGTACGATGTGAAACACAAAAGTTTATACATGAATGCTGAATATTCACCACTCAATTGGTTACAAATGTTTGTAATAGCTAACACAAATATATCCAAATATTTTAACAGATATGTAGACCAAGAATTTCATTCTCCGCTAAGCAGTAGTGTAGGTTGTTCAGTTTTCTAATAAAAAAGTACCTTACTGGCTTAAGCAGTTAACTTTCAATCAAGAGATCGTGGTGCCTGAAACCAAGCCCCGTCTAACTTGGTTACAGCAACAAGGATAGTGTGATAAACCCTCATACAATAATTGCATCTTCTGGCCCAGTAAATAAACATCCTTAATGCGTTGAACTGCAGTTAGAGTTCAGTTAATCATAATCTTTACAATTACCCTATTGGCAAGCTGTTCACATGCAATAACCTAAATGTTTTTCGATCAATTTCTAGAAAGCTTTTCCACGCACAGAACAAGATTACCAGCATGAAATAATATGTGCACACAGGCACAGATACACAACCACACATATACAAATAGAACTTACGACGATCAGAAAAATCATCCACCAGTATAATTTCACGTAACAAATGTGATGGAGATCGATCAATCACTGAATGTACAGAACGCAATAATACTGACCAAGCTTCATTATGAAAACAAATTATTACAGATGCAGACGGTAGATTATGTGGATATTTGTTGACTTTACACCTATATTCAACAAGGGGTGATAATCAACCGAGAAAAAACTAAGATAACATGTTGGAAATTACTTTTAAATTTTAATTAGGATAATGACAATCAAGTAAGCATTACTTGTCAGTTTGTTAACTACGGTATTTATGTGAACACACATTTTACTGTCACTGCAATTTTATAGTAACTGGTTCAAAATTCAGTGCATATGTAACTTCGGTAAAAACCTTATATGTAAATCACGTGTATATGGACACATATAATTAGTAGTTTATAAGTATTGGTTGCAGCGACAGAAAGGAATGTGGAAAAATGAATTCCGTCCGAGGTAGATCGATGGTGACGTATTCAGCAAAAAGACTCAGCAGTCCTGAGATCGATCCCTTGCAAAGTTATGGGTGTGTACTGCCAGCGATCACATCTGATCAGTGCTCCCAGATTTTCAGTGATTCTCTAACTTATGTCAGTCCATGATGCACCCTATGTAGATATATGTGTATACGTTTTCCATTTGTTGCACAACTACCACCTAATCCATCCATAAATTTACAGTTATAAAACGACGAAATCATTATATAATCCTTTGATTTTCAATTTCCAATGATATTGTTAATGACTGACTTCAAAAGAGGGATCAACAGTTGAGTGAACATAATGTGAAAAATACTGAGATTGTGTGTAGAGTTCTGTATCATATTGGTAAATAGGTTATTGAAGTTGTTGGTCAGAGGCAATTAAGATAACAGAGATGAGTGTTGCATTTGTCAAGGAACCACTTTTCAGAAGGTGCAACTTTTGGCGAAATTGACAGTCAGTTTGAGGTATGTCAGTTATGTGGGTTTCTTGGTCAGAATCTCCTAAATATTAGAAATCAATGTTGGAAATACCTAGGTAACAAGGGTAAAATTCGACCACATTGATGTATATGTCTATACTCACTGGCTTTCCTAAAAATTTCAAAACCTTAATATCACATCCCAACTGATTATTTTCCCCCTTACTTTAATCAGTCAATATCAACATGAGACCTGGCACTACTGTCTAAAGAACCTAGTTGCCAAACATTTCGAAATAAAATATCAATATACAAGGCACCAAGACGGAGGACGCATAACCAAATTGTACCCAAAAGTTGTAGAAAGTCATAAGAGTGGAAACGGTAAAGCACACAAGGAAACATGCTATGATGATATGGTGTGGATGCATCTGAGCTACTGCAATCGATTCTGTGCTATATCACCTAGAATCTTCAGTCATCCGGCTTCGGTTGTCACATGAACATCAACCAGAAAGGTCATATTTTCTATACAAAGCTCCAACTAACACTCAGAGACCTTATTAACTGATGTTATGCTTTATTCTAGCAGTCGTGTGATTACTATGATATGAATATCATCAATAAATTCTACTCTAAACGTCATCTAGTAAGTTACACTGCATCACTGTGTCGTATATTAAATAAACGATCTAATGCTGAAATGTACTCTATAAGTGCTCAAGTGTTACTCTTTCATTAAACGCCTTTCACCATCTTCTAGCCTACACTTACTTCAGCTGCTATAGAGCGTCAGAATAGACACTGGTTAGGCATATGCACTTCTGATATATTCACATCCTTCATATCCATGTACTTCCTCCTTCGTAATTAATTTAGTATCTTTATTTTTCTGTTGCCTTTCAGTATCTGTGAAGTCGTAAAATACGGTAAATCTAATTGATTATTACCATACGAAGTCCTACTTGAATGTTGACTCAATTCACAATAGTGCATAAACTGGGCAGAATGGTTCACAAGAAATGCATTTAGTGTCTAGCACAATGTTCATTAAGGATCAACTGTTAATGTCTAGTTGTTATCGTACAGTGAATGTTCATTTCCTTTTCAAAATCTTCAACCTTTTCTACATAATGAGTCGATTTAGTAAGAGGTTGAAACTTAAAATCTTATTTAATAGAAAATTGTAGAACATAGTCTACTGCTTGTTTGTTTATTTGTTGTGACTTTTTGCAACTGTGAATAGTAAAGTACACAATAATTATGCATTACCTTTACTTAATAATTTCACCTCCATTTATTTTTGTTCTTCTAAACAAAAAGCAGTGAGACAATAGGTCACAAGTTCGAACTGCATCAATGATAATTGAAAAGAAAGTCATAAGAAAAGTAAGCAAATAAATAAGGGAAGAGAAAATAAGACAAGAAGTATTTCATTATTTGCAAATGCCATCTCTCTCAAGCTAACTATGGGTCCCACCTATCCCAAAAGTTGCATGCAGTTTGTTGAGATCATATCACATGAATTTGAGCTGATCAACTTTTAGTAAGCTGATCTAACATCCCTGAAGCTTTTTTTCAATGTGCGTCCTCTTCAGTTAGCCAGGTATTCAAAGGCTGATGAGTACTGTACTTTAAAAATATATCCCAGTTATCTTGACCAGATAAAACTTACCATCGATTAAGTAGATCATTACATCGTAGTGTCAAACTTCAAGGCAATAATGTGTGTAAAACAAACTATATCAGATAACACTACCTGCTTGAAATATTCTTCTTCTAATTACCGTAAATCACTTTCATATGGCAGACTTAACATGCTGATTTAATGATAACATATTTAAATGTTAATAAAAAGAGATATGTGGATACAAAGAGCAAAAGAATATTTGAAGAATGATATTGAAGTAGACAAGTCTATGAAAAAAAATAAAGAGAAACAAAAGAACTTTAACAGCGTTAAACTAATTAAGAAGCATTCTTCCAGCCTAATTCTATTTTCGTTAACAGTGTGTATTGAAGTACAGATAATATTATAGTTATTGAAGTCGTCATATATATATGTATATAAAGTGGCACCGGATTCAAAGGTCATCTAGTCAATGGCTGAACAAAAATAACAACATGATGTGATCGATTTGTTGAGCGTGTGTTAGTTTACGACAAACATGCATAAAGCCGATGGTCAGTCAGTCTGAAAACATTTGAAACGTGATAACTGGTGATTCATCAAAAACTATCGAAATAACTGAAGAGTTATCACCAGTGTTATAGTCACTATGTATATTTTGCATATCCAATGGGCAGACTAAAGAGAAAGAATATTTTTCTTAAAATTTATAAACCTTTCGAAAGTAATCAGTAACTATTATTGTATTTTGAGGGAGTTGTGGGGATTTGGAAATATTTCAAGTTGTTATTCATTGTAGACTGACATCAGTTGGAAGAACAAAGGAAACCGGGGAGCATTGGACAGCTGTTTCCTCCTAGTACGGGACTCCTCAGTAGTGCGCACCCACAACACCGCCAGGGATCGAACCCGCGACCTTCAGGTTCCGTGACCAGCACGTTACCATTCAGCCGCTGGGTCAGACTCCAGTAGTCCATATTTCCAACTTCGTTAGCTCACGATATAGAGCAACCGCCACCCAATATCATCGTTGAGTAACTGTCCTCACGACCATCAGGCTTTGCCCCACCGGTCACGACTTCTCATTGGAACTTCGGGAATACCTCTCGAAGCTAGTCACCAATGAGCACCAGTTTAATTGAATTTCGAGGGAGTTGTGAAGATTTGGAAATATTTCAAGTTGTTATTCATCGTAGACTGACATCAGTTGGAGGAACGAAGGAAACCTGGGTATGCACTGCTGAGGAGTCCCATACTAGGACGAAACAGCTGTCCAGTGCTCCCCGGTTTCTTTTGTTCCTCCAACTGATGTCAGTCTACGATGAATAACATCTTGGACTATTATTGTATTAACAGTTGTTTGATGGGAATAGTTGCTCTCGAAAGAATACGAATTTGTCTTGTTGCTAACGCATACATGGCTTTTTGGAAACAGTAAAGTGTTTCACCAGAAGACAGTACTCATAAAACTTTACCATGGTAAATAGGATTTCCCGCTACACGACAATGGGGAAAAGTAATAACTAACCGTTTACATATTAGGATAAGTAAATGTAGGATGATACGATACTCTAAATGCTAAGGAAAAAACAGTAGTAAATAAGTTCCATTAAAACAAATTTCAATTCATCTGTCGCTAAAAGTATACTTGTATGGACTTCAAGATCGAAATTTGACCTGATAGGGTGAATAAGTTGAGTCAATGGGTCATAAATGAAATATATTTGCATAATCCCAGTGAGGTAGGAAAATAAATTTCTGACGTTTTGCGACTGTGGAAATCACTTCTTCAGAGAATATGAACATAAATTTATGCCCACATTATCATCGTGTATAAACAACGTGATCTGGTTTGTCACCATTTCCCATTTGAACAGTCGATAACCTGTACAGGTTTTATTCTCCGAAAGAGCGATTTCCATGCAGTCAAAAAAAGTCGGAAATTAATTTTTCAACCTCAATGGTATTGTAAAAATATATTTCCCTTACAAAATACTCGTACTTTTCTTCAGATCCTAGAATTAGGCCAACCAGCAGTGAATTTATAGCTGTCTCAGTGTCACTATCACAAGTCACTGCCCATCATATTTTGACTTGTTACTATCGCATCTCGAAAAAGATCAAAATATGTACCAGTACAAATCACACACATCTGATAAAAAACCTATAGTTACCCTAGATACTGCTTTTCGGTGATCTTGCCCAATTAGATCAAGAGTTTTCATTCCTGTTATTTCAGCACCAATGACAGAAACACTCTTAGTCAGGAACACGGTAGAGTGAAAAACATTAAATAGTCTACTTTTAAGAAATCAAGAAATAATCATATTTAATGGAGGTAAACTAAACTTACTGTCCCTCACGAAAGTCTGGTAAATATCGTCTTACGCTGATATGATCACTAGCATACTGATTGAAAGCATTATCATTCCAACCTTGATCAAATTTTTGGCGTTCAACTGGTGAAAGCTTGTCACTTTCCACTGTATACGGCTTACCGCCTTCACCTTATTATTAAATTGCCCATAATTTAGGCGACATATGATAACGAGGAAAGAAAAGTGGCAAAAAGAATTATATTAAAATCCTCATAAATGAATGTAGGCATAGAAAAGGAAGTCAAATAACATAGCAATAGAATCAGTCGTTTAGTGCACAAATCAAATCTAAAAATTACCAAGTGATAGGACTGTTACTATTATCTATGCCTACTTAGCAAGTACATATCAAGATAAGAAGGCATTAAACAAACCATATTACGGTGAAGCCACATAAGAGAATTTTAGACTCCAGAAGTAAAATCCCCTAATTTTATAGTTTATAATACATTTTTGAACAATGCAAGAACAGAGATATTTGCAGAATAAAATGAACTCTTTTTATTCCACGGCCTTTCACCAGCTGCAAACATTTTTGTCAGGAAAGGTGTAAGATTCTTTATTAATATGCTACAAGACAGGCTGAAATCCTTATCAGTTATTAGTCGGCGACACAACCAAGCTTTTATAAGGCACACTATGCACGAACACCAACAAGATGCAAAAATCTGTAGTTACTTATGGCAACACAACTCAGAAATCATGTAAAGATTCGTTTTTTGGTGTTATATGATGGCGGTCAGTCGGCAGAAAGCCCTGGACATAAGTTTTGTGCTTGCTGACATTCAGCAACACTCTTCAACCAAGAGAAAACTTATGTCTCATCGATGATTTAACCCTGCATTACTCATTGCTGAAGTCAGAGACTTAACCACTAAGCTATCCAGACACGACTTGATTGACAGAATTCGATCTGTGCTAATCATTGGGTACTCATTAGTGAACAGGTTCCTGTACTGTCATTAATCATATCTGTTGTCAGATGACTAACGATAGTATTCTTAGGTAGAGAGTAATTCGAAATCATCATCTACGATAATTGAAGATGTATACTTCAGATTATGTTTACCAACTACTACTTACATAACACTTCTGATGAATTTCAAAATTTGTGGTTATGTTAAATACTGCAAGAATCCACTTATACTTGTATTTCATTGTTAGTTTGGATACAAATCATAGTACATGAAAAGTGTATATTTTTTTATAACGAAGGAGATAACTTGTTTTACCCATCGAGGCGCTTCATTTCTAACCATTAAGTTATGAATTTTTGAGATGAATGGGGATTTTTAATTTAGAAGTAGTGTTCATCATAACTTATTTGAAACCAACTCTATTTGATGAGGAATGAGTAGATAGTATCATTAACTCTTAGCAACTATATAGCGCTTATTTTAATATTTTATGTATTCATTTAACACGAACTCAGTGCGTTGTAGACGCTAAGAATTGTACACAGTTTAGAATATATAACTATTCACGGCGACTGGATATAACTGCTATTGTTTCCTAGTGTAAGAAACCATTGTTAATTCAATTCACTCAGCAACCTATAAATCACATCTCAGACATGTCAAAATAATTCAGTTCTTATCTGCAAAACTGTAAGGTGAAACTGGTTCAACTCCCGCATAGTAATGAAAACGACCTAGATTAGAGATATCAATCCCAATTTCAATGCAAATTACCTAACCGAGTTTGAATCAATAAAATATACAGTTTATGCTTTGAGAATTCAAAGGTGTGTAACCTTTATCATTCAATAAAGTAAGAAGCAACTATGCAGTTTTATTGTCAACTCCTTGGAACTGGAAATATTGATTCCTATACGACCTAAGCAAAGACCATCATAGAACACTGGGGAATTGAACAGTTAATAGTAACACTGAAATCCTACGAACCTAGTATCTGCTGCTGCTGATAATCACATAACTCAGTCGCCGGCATTTCAGAGAAGAAGATGAAACGAAGTTACTGGTAACTCAAAATGTAATGGTTCCATACAAAACTACATGTGTATTTATTAGATCCTTAGGAGTAAAACTCCAGATAAACAATTGAGAATATGAGTCACATGGAGCCTGTTTTATATTTCTATGCGATCTTCTTTAAGTCCAAAACGAAAACTAAAAACTTTGCAGTAGTTTTAGGTAAAAATCTTAGCAGATACTGGCAACTTCTATCAGATTTCACCACAGGAAAACCATCCCTCTTTTAGCATCAGTCACAGTTGTGTGCAGCGACACAAAATTTGCCCAAAATATTCAAAAAAGGAACATCATGTCTATAAGATGGAGCATGAAACTGTTGGAATAAGCTTGACCTGATATTGCTAATATTGTTCCTCGCAACCAGAAGTTCTAAGAACCTGGAAATAAGTGTTTTGTTGTGCATAATCTTAATAAATATCTTATTGTGCACATGCACATACACTTAGCCAGTTCCACCTACTCACTAACTACAAAGATTTGTGTAGCCCAATAGTGTAAAGAAATATCATAAACTAGTCGTAGTTCATAGCCTAGGACACGGATCTGTATCTGGTTGCATTCATTTTGACTAAAATATGTTGTAGATAACCGATTAACAACTTCAAAACTAAGCATGTTGATACATGAGGTGTGACGATGAGGAACCTGTGTGAACTTTTCGAAGGATAAGATTGCACCACTCATAAAAATGAATGGATGTTCACTCCTCGTGAGACAGTTAGTAAATCGTTTAAAATAATTTGACTGATCACATAGACAATCACATAATTGTCGTGGCTATGAAGACACGAACTCCAAACTAAAAGATGGAGTTGTGTTTAAACCACTAACTCAAATATAATCCTTTAAATCAAAACACTATTTTGACAAATTAACTCAAAGTCAGCACAGGTTTTCAAGTTGTCTAGTCTTTCATAATTACACTCAATCTGAGAAACTTATCCGAGAGATTTCAGTATCATATTTAAAGACGTTTTTGATTAACTTTGTGTCACTTAGCTTGCTTAGACTATTACTGTTATCTGTTGATTCAGCAATTCGTGATTGTTAAATGCAATAAGTTAGCTGTTATGATCACATAGCTGCACAAATTGGAAGTAGTCGAAAGAAAATAATCACTTCTTCTTTCTTATACAACTACAAGGTGACATGGTATGCAAGAACTTTCTGACATTTCTGTCCGACATAGCTCAACAAAAGATACCTGCAATCCAGACAAAAGAAAAGTTCAGACCTGATAGTCCACGCTTTTTCCAGAACAGTGTATCTTGTTGGAATACATGACTAATACAGTTACCTCTTCTATGCGTTCCAAATCCAATAAATACGAAAAACCACCAATTAAAAAACTAAGTGGAAATAGGCAACCTGGTGAAGGTCTGTATACCAGACTACGAGCTTTATCGAATGTGTATGTCCGTATACTTTTCGGTTTTATAAACAGAAAAAGGTGACGTGGATTTCGAATTTCAGAGGTCTTGACCAACGAACTACCTGGTGATGAATATAAACCATCCAAAATTAACATACATGCTATTCACAAATTGTGTTTACCTGGACCTGTAGACTGCTCGTCACTTTTTGGAGGTGGAGAACTTGGAAATAATCCCAACCTGGAAATTGCTGATAACCCATCTGAATGACTATGATCGACAGGCATTTCATTGTTTGAATCACCTTTGTTGTCATGATCAACAGGTTGGACAAGAACATTATCTGCGTTAGGTTCATCAACAGGAGGTACTATGTCGTGAAGATTATGCTCACCATTGTCATTTTCGTCAGCAACACGATCTTTTACGTTAACAAGACCTATGGAGGCAATTAAAAAAGCTAATTTTTACATGACATAAAAACAATAATGACCAGATACTTTTGTTGGAAATGAATACGGAGTGGTTAGCGTAGTATTTTAAGAAAACCTTATTTTCAGTTAATACAACAAACTGCTTTATGACAGCGACAACATTTAGGAGCAACAGACTACACCTGAATGACTTTTCAATTCATCCTTTACTCTGCATTAGACAGGTGTATCCTAATTTGTATCAATCGATAGTGTAGTGGTCCAACTACGCGTGGACGATGCTATGAAGGTAACAGTGACGGTCAGGCATCTGAAGTTTTCATAATGACCCTGTTCCACAGATATTTAACTGAGCATAGATCATTAACGCGCAGTACACTCCATCTACGATAAGGATTCGGATATTACGTCGATGCAACAGGAGGCACAACCTGGTGAAAGTCAACTAGGACTTTTATATCAGCTATGAGTTGAGGTTAGCTGACAGCTAATGAGGGTAAAATTGACTCTAAAGGGATAAATCTACTTTAACACTCCACTCCCTACTATTAGATGGGGTGTCGACGCGAAGCCGTCATGAAGCAATTTCTTATGCCAAAACGACTTACAAAGCTGTTGCTGAAAGTATTCGATGAATCATTCATCTTAACAGTCTTCATGAACATATAAATGACAACAATAACATAAGAAAAACTTAGAACAGAAGGCAGAAATAAGCAAATTACATTCGTTTAGTGTACATGTATGAAAATAATTACATTCAGATAACAAGCAATTTCAACCTTTTTATAACTCTTTATATCTAACCGGCAACTCATGAAAAGTGGCTCTAAAACACAGTATTATAACACAAAATATTTCTTCTGTTTTCACTATCAGGTGCCTCATAATACACAGATTACTCAGTTGATCTCTTAATGATAAATTTAACGAAATATATAGACCATTCTCTCAGAAGCCAGAGGACGGGAAGGTTTCATATAAGTGTGTAGTGCATTGTTTTGTGTTTGTTTTACGCCCACTGATCAAACATAAAATTGAAAATTTAGTTTGTGATTGTTTCTTAAGGATTTGATGTAGTTTAGCCAAAAAAATGTAGTAAAACTTCATAGTTTCTGGATGAAACTCGCTAGATTAAGTTAATACGAATCTTCTACTGAGAACAAAAAAAGTGGATTTTTACGCGTCATGCTCATCAAATTTGTTTAACTACATAAATAAAACGCTACATAAATTAAAGAGAAGTCATTTCATGAAATATTAAATATGAATCAATGAAAAAGACTGAAATTACCCACGACCACTATTCAAAACAATACGTATTAGTCACCTATCTATTTCGAAATCCAAATTTATAACAGAAGTTAACTTTACTTCTGACAGAATTTCTTTAAACAAGAGCTTACCATCCGATATGGATCTAGTATTAGACTCAAAAGTGTTTTCTTTCAGGTGCCCGTCGTTATTTTCTACTTAAAGAGAACTACAAGTAATTTTTTGCTAAGGTACCCAGTATGTGATAAAAAGTAACCTGATTACTATATATTTTGACGAGAAGTCCAACATTAGCGTGTTATGATCCCAGTGTCTTAAACAAACGGATACAACAATTTGCAATCCAGCATAAAAGTACAACAGTTCCAGTTGATACTCTTCTCAACATAACCAAAGGAAAAATCAACAGAAGTAAAAATATGAATACAGACATGATAGGAGTGGAAATGAATCAATGAAGGTGAAAACGGTGTTCCGGATTTTGATGATAAATGATACACATCTCTGTTTCATAGCGATCAGTTAGAACAAAAACCTCGAAAGCTTAGTTTCGTAGTATAAACAGAAGAATAGACATGGGACGCAATGGTTAAGTCTCATTCAATGTGTACTAAACAGAAGCAACAATCTGAGATTCACTTCCATCTACAAAAGTCTTTGAAACTAAAAGTAGTAAAACAGGCAAATATTAGAAAGGAAAAGACGAACTGATTTTTAATAGATGGTTAGTCTTATTAACTTAATTTAATACTTTGTGGACAACTCACCCGAATCCTTGTCTACTACTGGATGTGGACGGATATTTGGAAATTGACCAACATTATCTTTTGGTTTGAGAATGTGTCTGCCCTCATGAAATTTGTCGAGGAAGTCATTGTTTTTGGAATCGTGTTGTTTAGGCAATTTACTTGGCAAAGGTGCCAGGGGATTATCAACAGGTAATTGTGCATAATCTTCATGCACTCTACTATGCTCAAGTCTGTTCGTGTTTATCCACAAAATAAACATGAGACCGAAACACACGACTCCCAGTATGAACAGGTTATTTTTCCGCCAAAACAGACGGCGCATGATCCCCTTGTGTACGGTGTCCTGAAAAAAGGTTATTTGCACAGCGTAATTACAGTTAATTTATTCCTTAATTCAGGCGAAACATTATAATATATATATATATATATATATATATATTGATCAACAATACAGTATCCCTAACAAACATCTACAGCACCAACAGCTTTAATTCGTGTAAAGTCCATGAACTCCATAAAATATTTTAATGTTTCTCGAGGATAAATACGATAACCATAAACAAAGCGAAGTCGTTTATATCCCCAGCGAGTGAAAAGATATTTCAACAATACTTTTTGAATACCAAGTATCTTAGCTTTCGACTACAATGAGGATTTTTTCAGAACTATCTAGTGACCTACTTCCTTTCTTGAATTAGAGGATAGACCTGGTTTCCGTAAGGATTGCTTGGAGACCACGTAGTTATCTGATCCCGACTGCACCGGGCAGTCATCATCATAAGTCTGCTAGCCTAAAGATTCTGACAGTATCACCAAGGTGTACTTCTACCAGAATAATCTCTACTACTTGTGAATCAAAACCACACGCTAAGACCCCCATATCCGAGAGCTGAAATTTTAGTAAGTTAGACAGACGCATAATCGCCAGCTTGAGGACTTTTTCATCATCCAGTAAGCTTATGTCAATGTAGAACCTGGAAGTACTGCATAACCATTGAAGTTGATGTGATTTATCGAAACACTCAGATACAAGGCAGCTAGAATAAAGGCATGGAAACCAAATGATATGTGAACAAGTCACAGAAAGTCGTGAGAAAAGTAAACACGAGGACTAAAAATAAATGGGATACAACGATTAAGAAGATGACATGTGAATGCATTTACACCACTCCAACCGGTTCTGAGTCACACCACCCCGAGTTTCCAAATAATCCCAGTAGGAAGTTTATAAGCAAAGAAACCTGGATCGCTGAAAAGAAAAGATTTTACATCGATGCAATAAGTTAGCCAGTAGGATGAAATGATATATTGCCGATACATACATATAAACTACATATTTGTATATATCTGATCATTTTTATACATAACTCCTTCTCGAACCACCTGTGCTTTGTGTACAACTGTGAAGTGTGGCAACTTGAGCTAATGCACTTGTGCGCGAAGTTCTACGTCGATTCTGTGTCATTCAGTCACTGAGATTTCGAAAATCTCATACTTTGTTTCTATATGAGAAAAAGGTCACCTGTAAACAGTAAAGTAACGCTGATGTCTAAACACTCATTAATCATCATTAGGACATGTGACATTTGATATCTAAAAATCAACTTTACCATAAATAAACATGCAGTCGTAAACTTGAGTAGTATATGTGTTGCATCTGTTGCTACAATTCTATATATCAGTCATATTCACCGGTAAGATTCATATATTTATATATATATAACTTATACTTAGACAAATTGCTTCAAAGTTTGAACTTTTTCCAGACACATAGACTATATCTTGACAAAAAGCATTGAAGGCCGAAGACGACAGCTTGCTTAAGGCTCATAAAGTCACCAGTGTTCTGTAAAGTGCTACATGCCCGTGCTGAGGCACGTAACACCAGTAACTAACGTACATAAATAACGTACAGCATAGCGTTCAGTGATAACCAGGAGTTTCTGATTGCCTACAAGACTAAAAGCCGAAAATATTTACATTTCCCCGACTTCAAACCCAGACATACTACGAAATCTGCTTGAAAAGGCTGGATTCAACGCAAATACAACTTCCGCGGAAGGACAATTGATAACAACTTATCCTAACTGTCCCACCTTCAGTGCATAATATTGTCGAAGCGTGATATAATGAGTAAATAAAATAAGCTCCACTACTTAACTTATTAGAAGGCTACATAAGTACAACATTTATAAGACGATAACGAACCTGCACCCAGCGCCTTCAAGTGACAAGGAACGAAGTGCGCGGGATCTTTTGTAAGGTCGTGTGTATGCATTTGAAAAACAATATCTTCAGTCCCGAGTGACCAGAAAACTAGGTCTAACCTAAGTAGTAATCTGTTTGAACGACACCTCTTTGTGCATGCACCTTCAAGAAAACATATTAGGACTTTATTCATATTAAAGCTCGCATGTTTCATTGTTCTGATTCAGTTTCAGTAATAATTGTGGTAGGCAACCACTGGTATTGAGTGTGCTATACGTCATCCGGTATTTAACACTGTAGCCACTTTTTTTCTAACTTCGGCTGTCAGAGTGTCTATTCTTCCAGATGGGCATCAAGTATTTTACTGACTGCTTAAATCCTTAAATTTAAGTGTATTATTTGACCTTGTAATGTTATCCGTTCGCGTTTTATTTACTTCCACATTTTCATGATAGTCGGATGCAACGTCATCTCAAGTGTTACCTTGACTCTTTCATTCGACTATTTTCCTAAGTCAATATGTTTGCGCCTCTGCTGATCGTTACATCTTGAAAATATACTGTCCTTTAGAACAGTCATCAATTTTATATTTTCCAAAAAGAAGGGCACTTCAGTTGCTTTATTCGTATGGCTCTCGATTATAAAACGTCTAAGACTGGGATAGAATTACCATTTTTGTCACAGATTTCAGATTCTTGACGCTGTTGCTCAGTTTCTGCGCCTAGTTAGGTCTTTTGCCAGACAAAACTGGTTGGCATTTATGTACCGCTTGCAACAAAAACAATATAGGATGGGCGTTACTCTTTGCGGAGGCATTCTCAATGTATCAGGGGTGATCTGTTATCTTCACTAATCCACCCAGGGTTAATGGGATTCTTTAAAACCATTCACATATTAGACTGGGCTTCAGATCAGTCTTTCGACGAAGACTGATATTAGCGCGCGCTTTTTGATAGGAAGTGTAATCTTACCGTGATTTAGCATTTTAGTTTTTGTTGTGAATAGCGCAACGAAAACTCTGGTTTTTAGCGCGGAAGTTCTCTTGAGCTCCAATTCCGACAAGTTTGCCCTATTTTCACTTGTATTTCTGTTCCTACTAGGATAACGATGCTTCATCTCTGCTCCACTTTTGGTTTGACCTGATAGAGCTAGGGTTTCTACCCCTTTTGAGGTATTTTAAGGGCTTTTGCGTTGGTTTTTCCCTCTCTACTGCATTTTTGACGATAATGATAGTCTGCGATGGGTAGTCCCGTGAGGCTTGTACAGACTTAAAGCGAACTGAGTACGCCAAACTCAGCAAACCTGGCCGCGAATGGCATTGCCGCTTGTGTTGATCAACACTCGACGATGCTTATGAGGACACCGTCGGCATGTTAACGGGAGTAACAGCAGGCCGACAATAAACCAAAAAAGTGGAAGCTGGAAAGTTCAAAAGTGATGCCTAAGCACGCTTGCCTTGGAGTTCGAAAAGTGACCAGCGGAAAAAGTGCTCAAGTTTCCCAACAATAACAGAGAACTTGTTCGGCGAAGGACGTGATGCACCTCATCACTGCAATAACATTGACTTCCTTTCAATCCTTCGCTTGGATTCTGCTACCAACAGATGAAGCGCAAAACGAAACGGTCATACTAGGCAAGGATGCTCAAGGTGGAGAACGGGTATACATTGCACGGAATAAGAACAGTCGGATTTCGACTCCAGTCAAACCCATCGAGTCTGTGAGGGCCGAAAACGCAGGAAACAGGCTGAAGGAGGGCAATCTGGAAATTGGGAGGGCTAGACCTGAGTCTGAAGGGAAGTGGAACGGACAGCAGACCATGCGAGTCACTGGCGAGCTCGCAAAACATGCAATTGCGTCGCCCTTGAAAGAGAGCAAAGCTGGTAAAAAGACGAAAGCTCAACAAAAAACGTCCGGGCGTCAACGGTCGACAAGGTAAGACACTGTCCGTAATGATTCTTTGATAGTCGTGAACTTGACAGATAGCCTCGACCTCCTATAAAGCTTTCAAGTTGTAAGGTAAAAACCCCCCAAGCGAACAAGCCAGACACTGCGTGAAATCGATATAGAGAAGCTGCCAATTGAGCGTACCTTAAGTTTATCCTGGGATAACAAAGGCTAACTTGCCTAATAAGGCTACAACTAAGAGGGGCATTCTGTCAACGGTGGATTGTTTGTGCGATCAGCGAGAACTCTCGACACCAATCCTTCTTCCGGCAAAACAGTTGCGCCACCGTCTGTGTGAAGTGGGTCTTGGCTGGGATGACGGAATCCCGTACAGGAAGTCGATTCATGTAAAATTTTGAATAACATCAAGAGAATTAATGAAGTAACGTTTCCACGTCTCTTATGGCCGGCGTCGGACAACGGTTTTGAGAAAGGGTTACACAGTCTTCTACGCCTCGGTGGTTGGGTGGAGCCGTAGCATATATTCGGTGCACACTGGGTGCAACTGAAACCTATTGTAGCATGGTATTGGCTAAGGCTAGGGCTGCCCCTATTGAAGTGCTAACAGTACCACGCGTGGAACTTACGGCGGCCCTTCCAGGAGCTTGCCTCGGTTCTCAAATCAAGACACGGTTAGATATAGAGTTTCCCGAAGTATATTTCTGGACGGGTTCAAAAATAGTGTTGCATTATGTCAGGAACACGAGTAATCGGTTCAAGACTTTTGCAATCGGTCGTATTTCCATTATCCACTGCCTAACAAAGGTTTCTCAGTGGAGATACGTACGATCTAAATAAATAAATAGATGAATTTTTCACTCCGAAATTAAGAGTTTAACGTGGGAGAAGCCAGTTTACAGGCATCATCAAATTGATAAGGGTGAAGAAATCCCCAGTACTTGAGCTGTCCTGAATGATGCTGAAGGTATCGCATCATGGTTCATCATGATATTAAAAGTGACTACAGGTTATGAAAAGAACAGAAAAATATCACCTCACAGCACATACAGATTGCTCATGAGTTTCGGTCGTCTCCACCTACCATTCCTTTTTCACAATCAAGTGATACCAAAATCGTACAATATTCGGCGTTTGCGTCATATGTGACCTAGATGGTTAACCTGGCAGCATAGTTCCGTGTTTCGTCAGATAAACGTCTATTCTAACATCAGTTCACATGTTTATAGCATCGTTAAACCAACGAAAACTCACTTCATTGATTTCAGGTGACAGTAAGTGTTAGCATGACCATATAATCCACGTGAATATACAAGTCCTCGTATTTCTCACTCGTAGTGTGACCTTGCTCAGCAATACAGATATAATCTATCAGAATTAGTTGTTGCTGTACAAAGAAATAAGCATTTGAGGGGCTGTTATCCAATGGTCACGGAGTTTTGCACATACAATTCACATTGGAGCATACAGCATTATCAAGGAGGTATGTTGACTGTTAATTGTCTTCCGTGAGACGAAGCCAAATGGGGTGAAATACTGCAGAAGTTCGTTTGAGAACGTGTCTCACTTTGGGTCACTAGATGAGTTTATTCCTTAGACTTAGTTATTGGTCCAGATTTTCGCTGCCATAATGATCGTCCAGAAGCCCCAGGTCATTTATTGCAGTTTGGTTTTCAAACATGCTTAAAAGAGAGGAAGAAAAGGAAAGCACGAGCAGAAATGATGATACTGCCTTTCTAGACTATCTGACACATTACAGTTGTTCGAACACTGGCAAAAGGCAACTTTACGTGAGGACTTACCTTGCTTCGGACCAAACACAACCCAGTCCGAACGGGTTTGTGCTCCAAACCGCCGATTTCTATTTCTAACGTGCCGTTTCAGGGCCCAAAGCGCATCTTGAACGTCACATCCGATTATGACTCCAACAGTACCACTACGTAATCGAGGTAGCTGACGTCCCTCGAATTGCTCCAGACATTTATCTGCCTTTCCAACAGAGTGCACACCCTGTATTGGTAGGTGACCAACGGTGTAAGCCATTTGTACCTTCGCTGAACCTTGTCCATCCAGCGAGCAGGGCTCTGCAATCACTTCCAAGCACTTGCGCCGAGAAATCCCTGTCACTCTGGCCACACTCGGGGGGCACTTTCTCCCAGCAAGACCAAGATCCTTGACAATGTTTTCCAATATTAGTGGTGTGTCCGATCCATTATCCAGCAGGGCATAAGTTTTTAAGTTCCCTTTTTAACCCGTCAGTCGCACCGGAACGATTCCCAAATTCGCTTTCCGAGATCGATCCAGTTACTCTGGCTTCAGTGTCCGTCATATACAACAAGGGGTTGTGGTTTACTTTGTAATCCTTTGACTCACATTCAAGTCCGGAATCGCGAAACTTAGCTATGCGACCCCTCTTTGAACAACTGTAGCAGACACCAAGGCGTTCAACTACCGATGTTCTTCCGTCGGTCGGCATTTTCAATGGCTTCGGGCATTCAGTGAGACTGTGGGAGTCATGTCACAAGATGTAACTCGTAGTAGGTGTGGCCCTATCAAATGTCGAATGATTAGCACCTCCCACCGATTGAAGTGCGACCTACTGCTAAACTGTGAACCAGAACGCTTCACCCGATCGCTTCCCAAATTAAGTCTCATCAATAAGCCGTAGCTCGACCAAGCTACTTTAGATCTCTCCTCAACGAAGCAAACCAAGTCTTCAAATTCAGGCTCCCTCCTAGTGAGCAAAGTCCTGTATGTCTGCCATGTCAGCCCATCTACCTCGTAAATCCGTAGGTATCCGCCCGACGATAGCCTCCAAGTTGACCAGCTATCTGAAGTTCACAACACTGCTACTCTGTGACAGTGTTATCCGTAAGTTTTTAAGCTTTATAGAGAACTCATTCACAGCCTCAACAGTGTTCTCCATCGACTATCCATTTCTGACCAAGTCGTCAACGAGTAATCGGGCGATCATATGCTCCTGTTCAGCAAATCACGAAGGATTTCTCTAGCACAATCATATCCAAGGTCAGCTGGTAGTGAGATACTTGCCTCTACCACTTCCCTTGCCTGCCCTTCTGGAAAGTGCGAGATAAGACGACATACGGCCTTTGTCAGTCAGTTTAGTTTCTG